CTAAATAGCAACAATCTATATACATATATAATATTTGGTTTCATCTAATGGTATGTTAGTAAATAATGATTCTACATCAAAACTTGCAATTACTACATCCTTATCGAATTTCAAGTCCTTAATATTCTATATAAATTTAAAGCTATCTTGCAGAGTATATTCATTATTAATAAATTATTTCAAACCTTTACTTAAAAATTTTGCTAATATGTGATTATAGTAACCAATGTTAGACACAATAGGTCTCATTGGACAATTGTCTTTATAAATTTTTAGCAATCCATACAATATACCTGCATGAGAGCCACTAGATCTTATTTCTTGATAATTATCTTCTGTTATGATGTTTTCGTTTAGTGATCAAGTTAAAGAACATAGTGTGTCAAGGTATGCAGAATTCTCAAACATTTTCCGACAAAGAAAAATGTGTGAATATAAATGTAGATATTGAACAGTTCCAAATTATCGGAATGGCTGAAAATGAGCAGTGGCTAAGATTAAAACAAACATTAGACATAAAGAACTTAGCACCTGAACTAAACAAGAAATCCAGCACCGGTGAGCTGATGTTAAAAGTGTGGTAAGAGGAAAAAAAATCATGTTTGAAATTACCTTGTGTTAGTTAATGTTAAAAATTCAGCTAAGCTACGAGCCATGACATTATAATGAGTAATTTATATTAAATTTCCTACTTCTCAGAGGGGTGGTAGATACACTAGAGAAGAGGGGATACCTAAAAAGAAAATATCACAATTATCATACTAGGAGAAATTGAGGATCTTTTTAAAATAATGCCTTATAAAATTAAGAACTTAAAACTTGTATAATATTAAAATATATATTATTAGCTGTGTTATGATGCCAAGTTTATTCATATGCAATGAGACTAAAGTACTTTAATTAAATTTTAAATTAACTCAGTAAAACCTCATGACAAGCACACAAAAGGATGCCCATAGCAATGGTTAACCCTTCCACCATGAGTACCCCTTTAAACACATTTCTGCACAACTCACTGAGTTAAATTCAAACTTTAATTAGACAACTTTACTATCAATGTATGTCAATGAAATTATCATTATAATGTATAATTCAAAGTTATGTTATCTAAGTCTTAATTCCTTTATTTCAAAATAAGCCTTAAAAAAACTTAAAACTTCAGTTTTGTTCTCAACATGTTCTGAAATTTCACAATCTATAACTTGAACTAGCAACTACAGTACATGTATGTCTAGACAAAAACCTCATTTAATGCACTATTTACATGTTCCAAAGTTCCCTGGATGAGTTTAGTTGAAATAAAATATGAATTTTGCCAGCTCCCGACAGATGCCATACCCATCTTCTATACTTAGCCTTGAAACTTACAAGCCACATGTATTTATTTGATGCATGTGTTTATAACCATTAGAAAGAGCTCATTTCACGCTATAATCTAACAATAATTTGAAATTGGCATACAGGGGTAGATGTAACTCCTGGTAGTATCGTTGGCTGCTTTTTCCATGATAGCACTTACTATTATTTCTTATCTAAATATGTTATAGTTAGAGAGAGATTTAACTTGTATTTCAGTCTTATATAAAAGTAAAAGTTTTGTTGTAAAATGCATAATTGAAAGGTTTAAACATTTTTTTGAATCTTTCTCAAAATCTGCCTCAGTTCTCAACCTTTATGATCTTGTGCAAGTGCAAGATAATTTAGTTGAAGACTTGCACATCTCTGCCAAAGATACTGTAATATGCTCTATGAGCATCACTGACTTGTGTAAAGATGAATAATAAATGGTAAAGGAAAATAAAACGTTAGAAATTAACTATATGTGAAAATGAAAAGATCTGAAATTACAAGTATAACCAAAAGATCTTTTAAGATATTCTATGAAAAACTAAAAGGTACATTTTTTTACATTTTAATTTTAAACATTTCATTGCACCATATGTTGATAATAATACCTACAGTTAGTGATATGGTAGAGAAAATGAAAAATAAAATATAAACATTTACCTTAAAAAAACAAAAAATTATTGATACTCATTTAAGAGGTTCTCCAAAACTATAAGATGAAGAAAAGTTTGAGTGCAAATAACTACAATAGATAACATATTTTTAGTAGAAAGACTTAATTAAAATAATGTCATTCTTTGTGAAGATACATTAAGAAAGCTCAGAATTCATTTGTATTGTTTCCAGATGAGATTGTGTATTTTACACAATGCTGCTGCAAAAGGGTTAACTGGCTTTCTAACTAAGGTATAAGTGCCTCAAAATAATTCCCTTACCTACTCAATCTGAATTCTGTGATATCAACTTTCAATTTGTAGGCAAAATGACAAAGTCTCTTACTGGGAACAAAGTAGCATTATACATTTGGTAAATTAACACTTTATCTTTCTACTGACAAGTGGTTCTGACCTTTTAGTTTATATCTCTGTGAACAAAAAAGTCGATTTGTTTGATGTTAAGCATAAAGCTGTACAACAGCCTATCTGTGCTGTGCCCACTACAAGTATAAAAACTCAGTATTTAGCCATGCGAGCCCTCAGAGTTACCACTGAGTCACTGGTGAGCTAAACAAAGAAGACTGAAGGCTATAAAAAGTAAACTAATCATTAATAATATCTATACTATAATGAATAACTTATATTAAATTCAGGAAGTGAGAAAGGAATGTGAAAAAATAGAGGATGGGCAAGTCGAAGTGAACAAATGCCACAATACACAAAGGAGATAGAGTATTTCCTTTTAAAATTTGATTTATTAACTATGTCTTGATGCCAAGTATTCATATACATTGATAACAAAGCAGTTTAATTAAATTTTGAATATAGCTTTTGAAAATGTCTTGACGTGTGCTTTGGCCTATGTATAGTGAGAGGGTTACACACTTCTACAAATTACCTTAATATTAAAGATTTCATCATCTTCACTGTTTGTCTTGAGTTTCTTTGGAGCTGGAGCTACAGTCATTAATTCATGACGTATCTTTGCAGCTGTACCTGAAATATTACAATTTTATTATCATTACTTTTTTACTTTAATCCTATATTGTGTAAAAAAAAGATCTAGTTAGCTATTTTTATTCCTTAAAATCAAGCATTATAATTTAAAGATTTAAACATTTGTTTCTTTGGATAATTTTACTTGGGAAGGGCCAAATATAATCTCGAATACACTTCATAAATATTTCTAGACAAGTTTTCAGAAACTAATTATAAACATTAGTAAAGAATATAAATCTAAATTGAAAATTAACCAAATTATAATAATATATCAGAAAAGGAAAGTCATTTCCCAAAACTAATGAATGAAATATGTAAACAGTTTTACATCTTTCATTCACTAGATTTGGGAAGAGACTTTTTTTTAACAATTTTTAAACTAAAACAATGATAAATAGATTTTATACATACACTTTTTCAAAATGTCAGTGTTCCCCATTACCCATATATGTATGCGAATCAAACAAAAATAATTCACATGAAAAAAACTGTACCTGTACATATACTGCATGTTCAAAAAACACAGCCAATACATAAAACAAATATTATTTACACATGCTAAAGCATCTAGATATATTAGTAGCTAAAGATGCTTGTAAAATTGCATTTGCATTGTGTTCTAATTTTAGATAATCTTTTCTATTTATGATCAACAGGTATCTAGGTGATTATGCAATACTTGTTTGTCAACATAAGATCATTTCGTAAGTCACGTCTAACCCACATAGTATTTTTGGGGAATTTTTCCAAGTTCTATAAAACATTTTACCTAAATTCAACAGAAATGAATACGTTTTATGTGAAAGGTTATGTTGCTTAAAAAATAAAAGCAAAATAAAACATATTTGGTGTTTATTAACCTCTGCATCAAAAACAAAAATTTATCTATAAGGTTTAAGTCTTAAATTGTAAGGTACTTAAGAAGATCTAATGAGATAATGCATTTTGTAATAACCAGCATGTCACACTTTGACCCTCTGCACAGGCATTCTTTACTAGGTTTTTAGTGACTTACATTAAAAATTTCATTAAATTACTTTATGTTATATCAATTAGTACAGCATAAAATCGTAACTAATAATTCATATTTTAACATTATACAAGTTAAATTCTTAACTTTATAAGGCAATATTTAAAAAATCCTGAATTGATATTTTTTCTCTAGGCATCCCTTCCTCTCTAATTTATTCACCCCTCCAATAAGTACCAACTTTAACATAAATTACTCACTATATTATTGTCATCACTCAGACAAAACAATTTTTAAAGCCTTCAATATCATTTGGTTACAAAGCCATGAAATATACAATTAGACCCCTCCTGCCACATCCACCTGTCACCTCTCTCAGGATTTGTTAATAGTTCTCTCTTACGTTTAATACTATATCACTTATAATCAATAGAAAGCCAAGGTTTTCATCTATCAAATGATGTATTATTTACAATTCTCTGTACAGAAAATGGAAAATTGTTAATTTCTCTTTTAGGTTAGATTACAGAAAATAAATAATAATAATATAATAAAAAATTTTCATGAGGCATGAATAAGAGCAGTTGGTGAGTAATGTAATTCAATAGCATAACATGATCTGCACATTCCCTGAGTGATTTACAAATTATAATGGCATGAATATTAGTTAGACATGGTTCAAAGGGCAATAAAACAATAAATGTAAGTATAAACAGATGGATACTGTTATTTAAAGCTACTTAGAATAAACAAATCTAGTTTCATGTTACAATTTGAAGTCATTCTAGAAAGAAAAACAAGGTTAATTTACATTTATTTCAATTTTTATTTTGACCAACCTTGCACAGTTAGGGTAGAGAAAATAACATAAAACATAAAATTTCACGAAAAAATACATAAGTTGTATTTAAGAGGTTTGGAGATTATGCAAATGAAATTTGACATTTTTGAGATGAAGTATTTTTAATATTAACATGAAAATCACTTTGCATTCATACTAGTAAAAAAAAAGACTAGATATATTCACAGACCAATCTTTTTTTAGTTTATTCACTAAAATATCAGATTTTTTGTTATGTAAAAGACTAGTAATGTTTACTGAAAGACTGCCATATTTGCTATATTATTTCAAAATACATTCTCTCAAAAAAGTATTAAATTTCACTCAAGAAATAAAGAAGAAATTTTAATAGAGCAGAGCTTTAGACTTCATTTTTAACATTCAAACAGGAAACATATTCACCTGTCGACACACTAAAAATAGCTTTTACTTATGGTATGACAAAATAAATTGTTTCAAATAAAACCACTTTCATTACGATTCATTATTTTTCTTAAATAGCAATATAATGGTGTGAATGTAATCAGATACACAACTGCCATGGCAATAACCCCTGCAAAAAACACAAACATGGACTAAAATGTAGTGCATTTAATGGTTTTAAGATCTACATAGTGCATGGTTATATTAGAGCTTTTATAGTTCTTGCAGTGTAATAGTAGGCAAGACTTATTTCACACATCATTCGAATCCACTGAATTTGAGAGATTAATTATTTACATTTTCTGCAGATTTCAGTATATTCTGCAGTTCTTCAAAAATTGATGCTCGCATATTCCAAAATGTATTAATAGAAACACTAATAATTCAGCCTATTTCTCAACCCATAAAACCTCTGAAAAAATGCACAACTACAGAGTTTGGGTCAGCTTTTAAATGTGACAACAACATCCAATAAGCAAAAATAGGCCAAAAATGTTCCAGGCTAAATAGAGTAGCAAATTAAAATGGCTGCGCATCACAGTAGACTAATACAATGGAGTATAGGTTAAAAAAAGGAAACCAAGTTAATTAGTATTACAACATTCTAATTATAAACTGTAAAACAAATTGTTTAGTGTCGTATATTGTACAACATTATAGTTCATCACAACAATTAATTAGTTAGTTTTATCTACTAATGTAACACTACATGATTAATTGATTAAAACTAATTTTGCTGTATCTATTGTACCCCCAACTTTATGTTTGCACACCCAAAAATTAGCCATTGGGGGGGGGGGGGGCGACAGTGTACTGCCATATGCAAAAAAGTAATTTGGAACACCGGTGTTAACTTCTTTTTAATACAATCTCTACAAGTTTTTTTCAGATATATCAAAATTAATAATTAAAACTGACGTTTAACAGCTTCCCCAACACCTTGTGACTGTGATCCCGTTGCTGTTCAAAGTGCTTTTCTTCAATTCTGCGATCTCTTCCAGGACAAGCACAAATCCTCACTTCCAATGATCGACGACCCACACATAAGCCACTGTGTAATGAAAATATTAAAAATATAAAATATAGTATTGATAGTGCATGCAAATAATTTCTTCATTAACCTCATATTCTGTAATAGAATATATAATCCCAAAAAATCAGAATGTTTAGAAGTAATCAGTTCTGACAAAACTTTGGATAAAATTCCTATTAAAAACTGATTTTTCAAAAGGATCTGCAAAATTAAAGATTTCAGCATTTATAATGTGGAAGGAAGAAAACACAAATGAGATCAAATAGGTTATACTAGTTGAAGAGGAAATAGAATAAAAATTACAGAAAAGGTTTTGGAAAAGCAAAATCACGTAACATGTAGATTATTTACAAGAACAATTATAATATAGTAAAACATAAACCATAGTCGAACAATCAGTTTACTTTTGCTTTAGTGTTTCCTTCAAAACTATCTGGTGTATTACAACCCAACAACAAGTTTACTTTTTTCCTCCAGGGTTTTCTTCAAAATTGTTTGAGCAGTTTGTACTTGATGAACTTGATCAAAGAAAAAAAAGTCACCAAGTTTTACCATTACTGAATTTTTGACAAAAAAGTTAACATTTTCAAAAGTAATGCCGTATACATTTGTTTAGCATCACAAAATTCATAATTATTTGTATACGCACAGAGTGGAACGAGTGTTTTGGAAAAAAGAATAATTATTAGTACAGGTGCAGAGTGGAACAAATTATGGTTGGTAGACATCAACGAAAGTAAATAAACATACAAAAAACTTTTGATAAAAAAAATTAGTAAATTTATACTCACTGTTCATTCTCAAGAGTAAAGATGATTTTTATTGGTCGTCGATTTAGTCCTCCCACACAGCTTCCAAGGCACATGAACTTGTAAAGGTAAGTTGTGTAAAACATTCCAGCTAAAACCAGAATGAAAATAAGAACATAAAACATGATATATTGAATTAAGTAAAATAAGACATTGAAATTCGACTTATTTTGCAACTTTTTGTGCAAAGTTACATAAAGAGCTATCTTCACATAGCTATTTCTAATTTTGATATATTTTTTAGGAAAGACAGCTAATCAAAAGCACCTCCCATTAACTCTTGTGTTATCATATAATGAGATTTGACAATCACCCTTATATTGCATTCACAACCCCAAAGTGAGGAGTGCATTTTTGTAGTAACAAGTCAGAAATGATGAATCCTTGAATTTTCAGTCTCAGCATGTTCCTGTTAGTCCCTCATTTAAATCAAATCAGAACAAATTATGAAATACAATGAACTAAGGTAGAATATTCAAGACAATCTAACTGAAACTATATTCAAAACAAGAACATGTAAATAAAATACTCCAGGGTATGCTGTGCATGGCAACCAAATGAAACAAAAACATACCACATATTAAACTCGCTTAACACTCTCCATAATTATTTTCTGCTTTTAAAAATCCTGCAATATTTGTTTGTATACACACCACAGAATACTAATGTGATGCACTATTTCTTTAGGTGGACCAGTATTTCCCAACAGGTGTACACTACAGAACATTAGTGTACTGCAACATTTATTTAAGTGGACCAGTATTTCTCAAAGGCTGTACACCACAGAACACTTGCAATACAACTGAGCTGCCATGTACCATAAAACATTCCAAAACAGCAATTTTAAAAAACAAACATTTGCAATAAAATTTATTTGAATAACAACTTCAATGTGATGACTAAGTAAAAATACAACTGCAAGCCATTTCATTTACCAATGTCTGTTTTTTAGAGATCGGTCATCTTAACACTTTGTTAAGAGCTTCTCAAATAGCAGGCTACCAATGGTTTTTAGTAGTTCCAGGTTTGCATTTATAAGAAAGGTAATTTTCTCATATTCAGTCTCCACCACTTCCAAATTCTACTAATTTACCTTAAATTTTAGTTTCAACATACCTTGTGGGTTTTCAAAAGGTACTGTGACTGAATGCCTTCCAGTGTTAAAGTCAATCAAGTAGTGGGACTGTGGACTATCACAACGAATCAGATGTTCAGGAGCAGGATGATCTAGAGTAGCAAAAGAAGAATTCCAGTAGTAAATAATGAATTATGACAGGATTCAACATGCTAATTATGTCAAACAACACAAACAGTATAACTAGGTTATTTTTTTTAGCATGATAAAATAGTGGTTTTAACTTTCACACTCATGGTAAGTCATGGAGCCAAGGAAAAAATAAGCATGTGTGCCCCAAAACATGCAGCCACTACCAAGTGTACAAAATCAGCCCCTCTGACACTCACCCGTTGTAACAGCTACACTTTAGATATTCAAGACTGCAAACCATCAAGACATTATTAGTTAACACTTAAAAAATGAAACGAATCCTTGGAACAATTGCCGAGATATAGCCTAGCCAAATCTGACCATATTGTTTGTTTATGCACACACCCAATTTGTTGTTATGGCGCGCGTGTTTAATTTTCAAACCTCAACCATCATCTCAATCTTCGTCCAATTGCTTTGAAATTAATATCATTACTTCCTTATGTTCACTCTACTAGCAATAGTGTTTATGGTTTGAAACAGTAAGTTTTGTGGCCTAATTTGTGGCTGGTTTTATTTAAAACAAGATCTAGATTTTAAATTTCTTTAAACTTTACAGTGATAAACAATACCATCACTTTTGTTTTTGTGTAAAATGTTGTGGAATTCTGGCAAGTAGTTTTCTTGTAAAGTGCTTGTAAAATTTTAAATTGCCAGTGCCAATGGGTGGAATTTAGACTGGCTTCCTGTGTAAACATGTGAGACTCATGAGTTTTAATTGTTTGTTGGCAGCCATTATTTTTTGTTGAAGCTAATGATTTGTTTGGAAGTTTAATTAACAAGTTTATTTTCCATACATATAAGCCTATATACTCAAGCACACTGTAGCTTGTGCTAGCTATATAACCATAGGACTTGCTTGTATTCCAATATTATTTATTATGTGGGGAGTGTGTGTGTCTACTTTCCACAGTTTGTTTATTCACATGTACCTACTAACATATAAGCTTTGTAAATGGTTTTGGCTGACTGGCAGGTTTTGGCCAGAATTGCCCAAGTTTTGCCTGTTACTCACTACTAAAATGTGGTATTAACTTGTTGTGTGTGACTAGTGCTAACATTAGCAAGGATGTTTTGTTGTTAAATACTTGTATATCAAAGGTATACATATGGACTCAACTCTAATGCAATAAATAACTTGTTTAAGCAGTTAAAAAGACTGTCTGAGCAATTAAAGACATTAGTTTCATAAACCAAGCCAAGCAAAAAATGTCTTACCATACGCTAAACTTTATGCCTTTCCAAAGAAGAGATTAGGGCAGTCCAGCTAGATCCAGCCCTCATACTGTGCTTATGAATACTAGAATTAAATGCATTAGCCCACACCCGATTTCAAAAACTGGATCATTACCAGCTGAGTATTGTTGTTTTGAGGCTGATCAACTCTGATCATTTCACTGAAACAATTCCTTTGAAGGATTTTAGTTATGAACTTTGTATTACTTGAATAGAACTATACTAGAAAATGTACACTGCAAGTCGATGTACATATATTACACAGGTGTCTTCTTTGGTGTGGTTACCAGAGTATATGCACGATGAAACTATAGTGTACTATGCATGCACTGCAATCATTTGCATCGTCTTTCATCATCCTGATATTATTTTTTGCAATATTATTTTGTACGTTTGTGATGAACTAATTTTACAGGAGAAAAATTAACTTGTTTTCATAATTTCTAATTTTCTAATTGTTTGCATTGTTTCTTGGGTTGCACTACAATGCAAGTGCCATTTTGTTTGTAATTTATCAATTAGCAGGCGTTGAAAGTTATTTTATGCTAGTTGGCTGTTTAATGTCATTATTTAAAAAATGTCTAGGCAGATGGTTAATGGTGAATTCTATTTGATGTACAGTAAGAGATAAGTTGTAGTTTTTCATAATTAGGTATAACATATAAACCAACAACAGCTTGGCTGTAAAAAAAAAGGCATGGCCAAGAAAAAAGTTATTTCTTATACAATTAGTAACTAAAAGAATTTCTATCATAATGCAGCCGAGGCAACCAACATTATTGGTTACCTAGTTTAAAGTTGCTTGCTAAAAAAACTATAACTGGTGTAAAATTTTGTTGTCATGTTTGTCAGTGTCATTAACAATAGCACAAATATGAGTTACTCCTCTCTCATTTGGCCACATTTTTGTCAACACTAACATACACATAATCATACAAAAAAAGTAGTCAAATGACAAGTAACTCAATAATTTTAAGCCAATTATAGTTTACTTTTTATTAGCAAGAATTTTAAAACTATGTATCCAATAATATTGGTTGCCTTGACTGCATTCTAATATAAATTCCTTTAGTTGCTATTTGTACAAGAAATAACTTTCTTGGAAATGCTTATTTTTTTCTACAACCAAGCTGTTTTTAGTTTAAAGACTATCTACCTTTTGTGCTCATTTAATTTTGATACCTACAATAAACATATTGTAAATAACACTTCTAATTGTCTAATCACTACTTGTTAACATATTCCAACTGTATATAATGTACTTTGTATAATGAACTGTCTTATAAACTGTACAGTTTTCTTATGTGATCTTATAGCAACAACAACAGTTCATTACAAACACAATCTTATGTTTTACAGTGATAACATGATGTTTCAGTCAAAAACAAAAACTTTTATCTTTATCAATTTAGGAATTAGATTGAGAAGACAACAAAAATTGTTTAATGAGAAAAAAATACTAAATGCATAATAATGCCTTTTTTAATACAAAAAATTCCTATTGATTGCAGTAGAATTTTAGATGTAATAAACAATGTTTTATAGAAATACTGCACTAATTCACATTTTTTATTAATGACAAAATTATTCTTACTTTCATTGGTCATGTCTCCTGGACTTGAATGGTTCAAGCAGCGTTTAACTACTTCAGTAACATACTCTGGTTTGGTGAATACAGCCATACATCTAAGAATAGTGCCACGTTGTGTAGGGTGGGTAGTATGAAATCTCACAGGACAAGCAGTTCCCATATTTACATACAGTTTGTCCTTCACTTCTGAGTACTAATGAAAATAACATCTATGTATACAAGTACACACACACACACACACATTTATATTACCTTAATGTAAAAAATCCTATATAGCAATGAAAATACATTATCAAGTATTAATAATAAGTATTTCACTGACTATAACTAGAGCTGGGCAATTTGATATAATTGATTATTTATAAGCAGCAATGACAATGATTAATATTCCACAAACTAATTGATTAATCAAAACCACAATTAGATGATTAATGTCACCAAAATAATCAACTAATAGAAATAAATAAATATTATTGTTTAACTATTCCAAAACTGATTAATCAAAATTACAATTTTATTGACTGTCATGAAAATAATAAACTAACTGAAATTTGTGTTGTTGGCTATTTACTGTTTTTGATTATTCTGAATATCCAAGTAATCAAAATATTGTCATTATATTTGTTTGGTATTAACCCTATAGACACAGGTCAAAGGCCATGTCATCACGTTTGTTGACTTGCATTCAAAATTTTATTGTACTACTATTCTATTTCAACAAGTTTGGTATCAAATCGTAGATTATGATACAAATTTTAAAATCTTAGTATTATCCATTAGTTATTTTCACAACTTAAAAGTAAATATAAAAAAAAAATCCTAAATAGATTTTAGTGTGTAATGTTGAAAGTTGAATGCAATATTGGTTCGAATTAGATGTTTGTGATATCCAAATACAAAATCTATAGTTTCTTACGAATTAGAAACTCAAATTACTGATATTGACAAGATAGAATATAAAATGAGAACCTCCTATCTTTTCTATTTTCTGAGATACTAATATATTTATTGAATCAACCAAGGTGGCTCTGCCCACCTCTTCAATTTTTGAAAATACTGCTTACATACACCTACTTCACCCAATAACGTGTGTATAACCAATCAAAAGCTTAAAATGTCCCCTAGTGGTTTTCTCAGCCTCTGCAAAATATGTCTGGCAAACTTTTTTTTCATGCTAGATTCCAAGCAGTAAGTTAAGATATTAGTGAGTTTGAAATTCCATTTTTTTAGACCCAAATACAGCTTAGACACTAAGCTAGATAAATTATAGTGGAATTCTGTGGTATTGATGGAGTAATTTATGATTTTTGGTTATTTCAAAATGTATATGTATAAATCCTAAAAAAATTATTTCATTTCACATCCTCCATGTATGAAATTTGATAAGGCTTAGCAACCTATGGCAAGCAGCAAACGAGCGAGCACAAAGTTCATAACTAGAAGAGATAAATGTTAGCTATACTTCTTTATTTACTGTTCTATGTTTAAGAAAAATAAGTTTAAGGACTTATTTGTGAATAGTAATAGTCTATATACCTATATAATGTATTATAACTGAAATGGAATTGTATTTCACAAAATACTAGTCCACTAAAACATAGCCAAGACAGGTCACTTTGTAAAGGCCAGTTCTATATTCTTGGATACAGTAATGCACGTGCGACACATCATTGCAACTTCTGTATATGTTAGTCAGGCACAGCTGAAAGGTCAAAATAATAAAAATAAATATATATAGATGCATAATGTTATGAAATTTAAGCTATTTAGACTAAACATTTGTGCTTTCATGTTATAATTTGTAGTCATTCTAGAACAAAAAAGCCATAACTTATATTTATTTCCTAATTTGTTATGGTGGTTATAAGGTCAGTCAAATCTATCCAACCAGTACAGAGATACAGTAGTGAAAATAACATATAAAATATTTTTTTTCTAAAAAAACGTTTGATAATTATCTGGAAATTATAAAAATTTTGCATGTGAAGTTAAACATTTTCTGATGCATAAAAGTATTTTTTATCTTAAAATCAAAATTACTTTGCATGTTTGATAGTCAATATTCAAGAAGTGAAAAGGCACGAGAAAAACATTACTTAAGAAATCTTAAAACTTAATGAAAAAACATATTTTCCATATAAAAGCCTTGAAGTGTTTACTGATAATATGCAAAATTTCGTGAAGATAGGCTTACTAACTTAAAAGTTGTAGCATGAAAACTATAACAAGCACAAAATGGTTACAAGGTCAGTCCCTGACCGAGCCCATGCCGAAAGCTACGTAATGGAGAGGTGAGTGATGCTTTGTGACTTGAGTCTCAGGTTTGATTCCCTTTGCCACTAAATTTACTCATCCTGTCTTTATTATTGCAAAGCTACTGAAGCTATTTAGCAGTCACTAATTATGAACTAGAGGGAAAACAACTGACTGGTATTGCCACTGTCAACTCTCCCTGGCTATCTAAATATTAAAAAAAAAGTGTAAATGTACTGTCATTTTTATACTGCATTATGTTTCTAACTTATAACTGTATTCTTTAATGCTACATAAACAGGTGCAAATCTGGGGGAGAGGACAACACCTCCATTCATTTTAGTTCCAGACTTTAATAGCTTTCTTTAGTTATATAAGCAGATGAGGATTTAGTGAAAGGGTCTAAGGGGTGAATCCCCATTAATTTTTTCACAAATTATTAACTATATTAGTCAATGTTGTATAAACAGGCACAGATTTAGGGGAAGTGTCCAAGGGGATCAACAAACGAGATGGCATGGCCTTTCACCTGTGACCCGGCTCAAAAGGATTAAATAAAAACATTACCCTTACCATGAGAGTAAAACATGCTTCAATTATCAATTTATTTGATATACAGAAGATCAATGTGAGATTACTGAATATTTGAAAACAAATAACAGCAACTGTGTGGTGGTATTTAGTTGACATTAGTGATTTAACCAATGGGTAGAAAATGTCCATACAACTATTTATAGACTTTTTTTTGACAAAAATATGTTCTTTGCAAATAGTGATCTTAAGATGTCTGTCATATGAAAACAAAGGTAATACAAAAATGATTTTTTTTTTAAAAGTACAAGAAAATAAGAAGACTGATACCACATTAGTACAATGCAGTGGTTGTGCTGATAAATACATACTTGATTTGTTTTTGTTTCTTTTGTTTTTTACATGTACTAACTGATTATCCCTCTCAATATGGAGTTCGTCAATTTGACCGAGTCACATGACCTTTTGTACTCATTTAAAGTCTTTATAAATTTAATACTTATAACTCTCAATATATTGGGTGTATCTTCACAAAATTTGACAGTATTTCAGTTAATATTACAAGTTTTTCACATAAAAAAACTCATATTTCTTAGTGAAGTATTTTTAATAACAAAGATTTCTCCATGAATATATTGAGTATTTGCTTTGAATAGTCCGTGTGAAAAGTAATTTTCATGTTAAAATTAAAA